AAAAACTGTGAGAATGGGAAGAACTGAATTTGTAGGGCCTAGCATAGGGCCTAACAACTGTTAGACGAATGAATAATTTAACTGAGAAGAGAACATGGTAAAAAGAAAAAAACAATCCAGTCCTAGGTCTTGTAGGCTCAATGACTCTCAGTTCTGACAAGATCCAGCATGAGTCAATGAAATAAAAGCCAAAGAACTGAGTGATTAGCTGTTAGCTACATCATCAATGTAGTTACTAAGATTTTAAAGAAAAAACAATATAAAAAAGAATGAAATAAAGGTAGGAAAGAGCTAGGCCGGGCATTGGTGGCACACGCCCTTAATCCCAGCACTTGGGAGGCAGAGGCAGGTGGCTCTCTTTGAGTTCGAGGCCAGCCTAGTCTACAAAGTGAGTTCCAGGACAGCCTCCAAAGCTACAGAGAAACAAAACAAAACAAACAAACAAAAAAAGGTAGGAAAGAGCTGTGTTTTGGAAAATACTCAGATGAAATGGAGGAGCGCACTACATCAGACCAGTAGAGTAACAGTGGTCTCTGGTTAAGGGAACACCTGTCCGGGAATGTAAGAGTGCTCTATTGAAGAGCATGAAGAGGCTGCGGAAGGAGAAATAATAAACAGTGGAAAGCTGTATTTAAGAGTAGATAAGGAAAAAAGCCTGAAGACACAAGATCACCAAGGAGCCCACTGCTCTCCCTCTGCCAGTGTGCGTTCCCACACATGAGGTGCGGCACTGCTGGCACTAGTGATTCTGCCATCCTGGCACCCTTCTGGATATCCCCCGTGTAGATAAGCTGCCAGTGAGCAAGACATATGGCATAAGGGAGGGGGCATCCAGAGGCTGAAAGTGTGAAGTTTTAGTGTTACGGAACCATCAAAAGTTTTAAACAAAGACCAGTGCAAAATCACCTTGGTGGCCAGGACCCAGTTTAGCACAAGACAAAATAATCCAACTAAGAGAAACAGTTTTTAGATTACCTTGTAACTTACTCAGAAACACGACCATTCAAGAAGCATGTAACACAGGCCTGGCTTTATGGTAAGTGCTGAAAACATCCAAGGATGGTGCTGACCTCAGTGCTGAGCAGCATGTCCTGAGAACTAACATGGAGGACGGTTTGCAGACGGACGGAAATGGAAGCAAAGGGAGTGGAGGGGGATTAACCGGGCAGAGGACATCCCTGAGATCTCAACGGACTAGCTGAGCCTGTGAGACATAACCTACGTTATTTCCAAAAGAAGAGAACGGTCAATCTGGAGCTCAACAGAGGTGACAAGGGAAACGGCAATCCAAGGAAAAGGGGAAAAGGAAACATCAGTCAATACTTATTTTTATTACCCCATGGTCAGCATTTTAAGCACTTTACAGATACACTAACGTGGTAATGGAAACAACAATGTTACAAGTATGTGTCATTACTATTTCGGTTTTCTGAAGAAAAATCAACATTATTTCCCCCACAGTCACAAAACTGGCAGGGAAGAACTAGGATTTACTAGCGAGGTAGTTAGGTACCACATCGCCTTTCTTAGGTGGCACTTACCATCTGATGCTGCCAGTCAATGACCTGAGTACAGGTAAGGTCCTCCAAGCAAGGGGTATAGATAGAAAGGAACACAAGCAAATACAGAAAAGCAATAAAGAGTTTTAAGCAAACAACGTGTAGTATGGTATGCCTGAAATCCCAGCAATTTGGGTGGGTGAAGTGGGAATATTGTAAATTTGAAGCTAGCCTGGGCTTTGAAGCAAAACCCCGTCTCAAAACAAAACAACAAAAAAGGCATAAACATTCATAAAGGGCTAGCATAAGGTTCAAAAGAGTCTACTGTATCTGAGAGTGAGGTTGTTAAATCCTTGTGGAACACCTTAAGGAGACTGAGGAGCCAAGACAAAAACCACAGGGACAGCAGAAGGTAACGCTGTGTAAGATATACATGAACTTACAAAACTCTGGTGGGAAAAGAGAAGCAGGAAATCACAGGAACGGTGAGAGGAAGACACCGGTTAAGTTTCTTTTCCCCCAAGCTGGAAAGGCCATGGTGTAAGCCATCACAACAACAGAGGTTACAAAGGGTCAGGAGCTGGAGATGAGCCTCCCGGTAGACAGGCCGCCCAGCACAAACAAGGCCCTTCCCTTGATCCCCAGAAACACCCACCCAGTTTCTTTAAGCAGCAAGGGACAAAGCAATGAGGCTGTAGCTCTGTCTCTGGAGAGAAGACTGAAGCTGTTTTAAGGGTGTCTGGATGAGGAGCCCAGGAGTTAAGAAATCATGTCAATGGACTTTATTCTGTCTGTGACATAGAAGATGAAGCCCACAAAGTGATGAGAACATTTTAAATTCTCAAACCTCTACTAAAATTAATAGGAAAAGAAGCAGATGACACACAAAAACAATTGCCGAGATCCAAACCCACTGTAAGTTAGGAGACATGCAGACACGCGCTATGGTGGGTATGGTGCAGGCCTCTAACCCCTGAGGAATGCCTAATCACTCAGGAAGCAGAGGGGGGTGGAGTTCCGTGACCTCCAGGCCAGCCTTGTCTACAAAGTGACTTCCAGGTCAACTAGGGCTACACACAGAGATCCTCTCTCCAAACAGCAAATATCCCCTCCTCACTAGACACGTACAGGACACTGATCCTTGGTATTAGGAAGAAGGGGGCAAAAGGGACAGGTCTTGTAATAAACACAAGATTTGAAATGTGTAGAACAAGTGTAACATAACACCAAAGTGTCCAGATAACACGCAGGTGACTAGCGGAGGTCTTCACAAGTCAGGGCAGGGCTGAAACCACCAGGAAGACATGGACACGAGAGGCAGGCAGGACGGACATGAGGAATGAGCAGGTTTAGGCGGAAAGGCGAAGGACAGATGGAAGGACAAGCCGCGGTTAAGCTCCACCAGGGCAAGAAGCAGGTCTGCCTCACTCCTTTCAGTTACAGTCAACAACCAACCGTTACCGAGGTCAGAGAATAGCATAGCGTTTTCAGACTTTGTTAGAACAAAACGATGACCATGACCGACAGTGCCAATAGTTAATAAGCACAGAAGCAGGACTCCCAGAGTCCGCAGGACCAAGGCTCACTGGGGGCTCACTTACTGACTGGGTCGAGCAACGAAGACTGTAAGATAAAAATAAAATAAAAAGAAGTCGACAGACGGTGATAAAAGGGGACAGGATGGGCAGAGCAGGACTGACGGCACAAGGGGACACTTTACTGGAAGGCGGAACACAGAGGCTCTGGGAGCAGCACTGACAGCCGGAGGAGCAACTCAACTCGCTTTTGCCGCTCAGCCCTGAGGCAAAGCAGGAGGAAGGACGACTGGAGAGAACGGGCAGCCCACACTTGAAGGTTTGCCAGGGAAGCGGTGTCCTTGGGAACGGGCCAGGTTTCAGTGTGGACCAGGGGGAGTCTGGAACACTGTGTAAAGAAACCCGGGCTCCAGAAGGCAGTGAAGGGAGGTGGGAGGAAGACAGTGGGAAGACGGGAGGAAAAGCACAGAAAAATACGGGAACGAGACTAGGAAGCCAGAAAACCTTTCAAAGCATTGGTTACAAGGAAGCCAGGGATGAAAGAGCTACGGAAATAATCAACAGGGCTGAGAGATCGGAATCAGAATTACGGAACAAAACAGTATTGACATTAGTAATACTGGCGGAGGCATTCTAGATATGAGTGTCAGCAACTTATTAGGTGTGTTAGTTAGAGAAACAGTACAGTCTTACCCAGTGAGAGCATGTTTCCATAACTGTCCATCATGACATCTTTATACAGGCTTCTCCGAGCTGGATCCAGATAATCCCACTCTTCCTGGGGTAAAACAAAACAAAACAAAAACATAGCCGCATCATCAGATGTCAGCAACTGCTGAAATAGTATGATTTCTGTAGCCAGTTCCAGCTGTCTCAAAGACAATTCTACCACTGGAAGAGGTAGACACTATCACTTACCATGGTCCCGTCCACTAGGAGGACTACGGTTGAGTAAGAGTATCAGAAAGTGCCAGGCACCCCAGACTGGTAAGGAACTGATCTGAACTCGTGCCTGCCAAACTGAAGGCCCTTTCTAGTGTCATTATTACACAGTAACATCAGTACCATTTTAATCGCAGTTAACAGCCTCCGACCTCTGCACTCCTCCTTCACCTCGCTGTCCTCCTGCGATGCTCTACCCACACCAGCTTGTGAGACCCAATACATCTCCACTCCGTTCGTTCCCTAAGCACCCACCCTGAGTTCGGCCATCACGCCGGCTGCAGGAGACAGAGGAGATCAAAAATAGTGTCTCACCTGGGGAACTCACAAATGAGAACTGACTTGGAACAGTCTTATTTTTCTCCAGCCGATTTATGAAGTTGTTCTTGGGGGGGGGGGGGGGAAATGAAGAAAAAAAAAAAAACCCGTGGACAGTTTGCAAGTGATCTAACTGCACCCCGGAGCAAGGGGTGCACCGGCGTTTGGCTGGGGTCCTCCCTGAGAGCTGCCGGCGACTGGGGAAGAGGCCTGGCCGTCTCGGGAGCGGCGAAATAACGGAGATCTTACCTTTGGCTCCAGCAGTGGGCTCGGGGACGCCATCTCCTCGTTCAGGAAGAGCAGCCACACACGGCAGCGGGGCTCCGGGGAGGCCCCGCCAGGACGAGGCTCACTCGATGGGTCTAGCGAGGAGGTCCAGCCTCGGTTTCGGGGCGGTCATGCTCCCAGGGACACATCAGACATCCCACCTGGATGTCCCCCAACCCCAAGCCCCGTCCTTTGCCCGGCTGCGCAGTCTCTTCGGGCCACGCTGTGGTCTCCTTGTTGCCAATTTCTCCACGTCGCACTCCAGCAGCGGTACCACCGACCACCCCCGGACCAGAAGGCGGTCCCCGGAACCGCCACGGAACCGCTCCAACTACAACTCCCGACATGCCCCGGGAGCGCGCCGCCGCCTTCTTCTGCAAGCGGCAACGGGACTACATTTCCCGGTGTGACCAGGGCTAGGCACGCACAGGGACGGCGGCAGTGAGCTGGCCTGTGATTGGCTGGGTTGGGACGCTCGTCGAAGATGGCGGCGCTCCGTGTGCGCCGGCTTGCTGGAGGAGGCTGGCTGTGGAACGCTCCCTTGGCTGCGCGTCGGGGCTTCTGGTCTCGGTCCAGGTGAGGCTGAGGGGGCGAGCTCGGGGGTAGAGGTGGGACCCGAGCCCGTAGCCCGCGGGGCTGGCGTGGAGTAGGAACCCGAGCCCACAGCCTGCGTCCCCGCCGCCCGCAGGGCCTCCGAGGGGGCGCCTCACGCTGCCTTAGCCTGGCCGGAGTCAGAGGCGCAGGGCGGCGAGCGAATCGACCCAGAATGTCAGTGTGGGTGCTCGGCATGCCTGACCTCTTCGCAAAACAGAGAGGAAGTGCGAGCTCTCCCTCCCTCCGTCCCCCCTCCTCCCTCCTCTCTCTCTCTCTCTCTCTCTCTCTCTCTCTCTCTCTCTCTCTCTCTCTCTCTCTCTCTCTCTGCCTCTCTCTCTGTCTCTGTCTCTCTCTCTGTCTCTCTCTGTCTCTGTCTCTCTCTCCTCTCTCTCTCTGTCTCTGTCTCTCTCTGTCTGTCTCTCTCTCTCCTCTCTCTGTCTCTGTCTCTGTCTCTCTCTCTGTCTCTCTCTGTCTCTCTGTCTCTCTGTCTCCTCTCTTTCCCCTGGGTTCAGTAAGACTATTTGGTATGGTTATTTGGTATGGTTTTGATCTTTTGCGTTTGTGACATAGAAAATGTTCAGTACACGCGTAAGCCGCAAGTGAAGATAAAGTGTTTCATGTAATGAAGTTAAGCTGAAAGCTGTGTGCTGATTTCTCCTTGGGCCTCCAGCTCACAGAAAACAGAAACTAATTATTAGTCATGGAAGCTCAGCCTTAGCTCAGGCTCGCTCCAAGGTAGTTCTTATAGCTTAAAGCAGCCCATATTTTTAAATCTGCGTTCTGTTATGTGGCTCCGTTACCTTCTCTCTGTACCGCCCGCCTTGCTTCCTCTGAGTCTGGCTCGTGACTCCTCCTTTCCTCTTCCCAGAGCTCTTTATCCCCAGAAGTCCCACTTGACTTCTTCCTGCCTAGCTAAGCTCATTATTAGACCAATCGCAGCGCCACATCTTCATTCTTAAAGTTCAGTACTGATGTTTTGTGTGAATAGCGTATCCACTGTTTGTTGACAGTGTGTTGTTCAGTAATTTGTCAATTCAGGCTTTGCTTTGTATATTTAGGTGAAAGTTTGACTTGAGAGCTTATTTAGTTTGCTCTAAGTATAGCTATGCCCACTTTGCTGCTTTTTCCATTCCCATGGAATACCTTTTCCCCCATCAGTTTTGGTTGATTAGCCCTTAAATCTTAAAAAATAGAAGTTTCTTGTAGACAGCATAAAGTTTGGTTTTTATTTTTGACTTTTTGGTTATGAGCCTAGCCTCTGACAAATGAACCATCTCTCCAGACCTCTGTTTTTGTGTGTGTGTGTGTGTGTGTGTGTGTGTGGTTTTTTTTTTTTTTTTGTTCGTTTGTTTGATTTTATTTTTGTTGTTGTTGTTCTAGTCACTATATCCTTTGGGGTATTGAGTTTTTTACCTGAATTACATTTTATTCTGAAAGCGATGAAATCTAATGGAAGGGACTTGAATATGGGAGGTAACTGGGTAGAAACTAAATAAACATAACTTTTTTGAGACTTTTTAAAAAAATACTGATGAGTTTTCTTCAAAACCGGAAACTATTGCAGTATATTGTTTACCGCAGGAATACTTCAGTATAGTATTAGTCCCTTTTCCATTGGCATAGTAAAATGTCTAATAATAGATGAGTTATAAATAGCTTGTCAATATTATCTGCTCTGCATCTAGAGATCTTGCTGCCTCATAACATAGTGGAGGGGAGTATATAGTGAGACAGAGAAAGCATGCTAGCTTGGTTCTTTTCTTCCTCCCCTTTATAGCCTCTAATGCTTTTATGGAGTTCTCAATCTCCTTATCTCATCTCCTCTAACTATCTCTAAAAAGGCCTAATTGTAAATACTGAGTGTCCAAGACAAGAACTATCACAAGATCACAAGTAGTAACACTGAGATGTTAATCAAAAGTTTATAAAGGACAAAGGATTAGTTGATGGAACAAAGCCTTAAGTTGCATTCCAAAGTATATACTTGGCCAGACATTTGATTTCTGGTCTTTTGTTTCTGTAGGGATGGTCAATTCCATGAGAAACGGGATTACTTAGGTAGTTCACACACCAATGCATTTAAATGGTATATCAGCCAGGTTCCTTTCTAAGCAGTTGTTAAGTTTGTTTTCAAAGAATCCCAAGTAAACAAAACAGGCCAATCTATTAAATATCTTACAATCTGGTGTGGTGGTTCTCAAGAGAGTATTGGCAGTGTCCATCGTTGTGACTCAAGACAGTAGTGCTCCTGTCATCAAGTAAAGTGATGCCAGGATGCTGCTAAATATCTTTCAGTGAACAGAACGACCCCTAACACACACCAAGGAACTGTCCAATCAAAGAGGTAAAGATGTCTGGGAATGAGAAGTTGTGATATTGTGAGGTAGAATATAATCAGAATGAAAACTTGTGTAGGATGGGATACATGGAGCAGTATAGACTGCTGTGAAGACCAAAGGAACATAACATTTGATTAGAGAAGTCAGGTTAAAGTTCTTAGGCATAACTTACAGGGTAAGTATAATTTGCATAAGTTATGATCAAACTGTTTCATGTAAGGATATGTAACCTGAGCTAACAAGTGTCAGGAAAGTGGGGATGTTTTTGGGAAACAGAATATAGTTTGAGCAGGCCTATGATGTATGTAAGAACTTGGGAGGTAAATTTAGCTGGGTGTATTGATTGGGGTTATATCTTGGCTAGTTTTATGTCAAATTGATACAAGTTAGAGTCATTTGAAGGAGGGAACCTCAGTTGAGAAAATGTCCCCACCAGATTGGCCTGGGTGCATTTTCTTGATTGAAAATTGTGAGAGGGTCCATCTCACTATGGGTGGTGCTACCCCTTGTCAGGTGGTACTGGGTGAGCCGTGGGAGCAATGCAGTGAGCAGCACCCTCCATGGCCTCTGCATCAGTTCCTGCTTCCAGGTCCCTGCCTAACACTCCTCAGGGATGCAGCGTGATATGAACTGGAAGATGAAGTAAACCCTTCCCTCCCCAAGTTGCTTTTCGTCAGCCTTTTGTCACTGCAATAGAAATCAAGCTAAGACAGAGCTAGGGCTCCTAGACAGAACAGTTTACCTTGTCTTTGTTCTTTCCTTATGCTTAGAATTCATGCAAGCATGTAAAATATATACTAAGCTTTTGTTTTCTTCTCTAACAATTGATTCAACTATACACACCTGAAGGGTAGATGACCATCTTACTGTTCTGCTCTCCACTGTGCTCAGAAAGTCTTAAGTGTACAAAATATTTGATTTTGGTTGCAAGGCAAGATTCAGTCAAATGTTTGCTAGCTTCATTAAGATACTCAGCCAAAGATTGATGTCTTCACTTTGCTCATTCAGGAAAGAGAAAGAGCCCGTGGTACCTGAGACAGTGGAAGAAGTGAAAAAAGAGCCTGTTTGGGTGTGTCCACCCTTACGAAGCCGAGCGTACACACCACCTGACGATCTCCAGAGTCGCTTGGAATCGTGTATTAAAGAAGTTCTTGGTTCATCTCTTCCTAGTAACTGGCAGGATATCTCCCTGGATGATGGCCATGTGAAGTTCAGACTCTTGGCACATTTAGCTGATGGCTTGGGCCATGCGGTACCTAACTCCAGGCTTCATCAAATGTGCAGTGTCAAAGACGTTCTTGAGTTCTATAGTGTTCCAGTTCAAGACAGATCTAAATTTGATGAACTCACTGCCAGTAATTTGCCTCCCAATTTGAAAATCAGTTGGGGTTACTGAGCAGTTCAGCGGTGAATGCATTGAGATCATTGTTATTTTTCTCACTAAGGTGGCTGACAAACCTTATATGTTACCTGTCAGAATTCTTCTATAACCCCTCCCGCCTTTTTTTTCCTGTCCTCTAGAAGAACACATCTTTTTTCTCATGGAGAATCAATAAAGAAAACATTTTCACATCGGTTACTGCTATCTCCCCCCAATAAAATCAAGTTTTGATAATTTATGACAGTGTTCTTAATATGATGTCAGGGTTCTTGAGATGAACAGAAGTGAGAGCATGAATATAGATTTAAAAGGGATTTATCAGATTAGCTTGTGGGAGGGTCTACATCAAAGTACATCAAAGGCTGGTTCGCACCAGAGAGGCCACGAGCCAGGGGTTGCTCAGTCCACGAGGCTGACTGTCTCAAGTGCCAGCCTGATGCAAAGGGCCTGGAGGATTCTTTGGAGAACTACTGATCTCCAAACCATGCTGGCAGCCTGAAGAAGTAGGTTCTCGTGAGTGAAGGAATGTAGCAGTGGCAGGAACAAGACAGGTGTGCTTGCCATAGAGTGAAGGCAAGTAGGCGGAGTCAAACCTTCCTTCTGGGGGTTCTGCCCACATGTATGGTACACTGCCCTCGAGATAATTTGTTCAAGAGAATCCCTCAGTGGAGTGACCACCTGTTTGTCTTTTAGTTGATTCTAGGTCAGTCAGTTGACAACCAAGATTAGCCATCACATGAAGATGCTAATTAACTTGGATTCAAGATAGGAAGGCATTCTAAGTTCAGATTTTTGTTTGTTTTTTCCCCTTTATATGGATAAAGTAGTAGTTGTGATAAAATGTTCTAATCTTATTAAATCTCGTAGGTATAGGATTATTATGTATGCATATACAAATGAGGAAATGTATTAGATACTTAAAGAACTGTGAATGTCTGGTGCACATAGGCCATTTCACTCTGTTTTAGTCCATGAGTAGTCATGGAAGAAAGTACACTATTCTGTGTGACCTCTTGGATTAAAGCAGATTGGTTAAAGTCTGATGTCTTTACTTCTTGAATTTCGCTTCTATGTATCACTTTATTATTTTCTTAAAATGAATGGTAGAACTGAGAAAATAGAATTTCTCACAACTATTAAATTTTAAAGAGTTGTTGCCAGATTCTACATTTAATTGCATATTCTCAAAATGAAGTATATTTCAAATGATCTTTTCTCTAACTTTAAAAGCAGGCTTAGGGTACATATGATTAGTTATTAGGTTGGCACATCTTTACACTTTAATGTACTTAGTTAATAGAGATTGTTTAGATGGATTTCCAGATTAATGACAAAATTAGTATATGGAAAGTTGTGATAGGAAGGTTTGAAGCATAGGAAATTGCATTTATTCCTTTTTTTAGTAACTTTTTTGAAGATAATAGTTATATAAATTCTAACAGGTTCATTGGAAAAAAAAATAGTTGAGGTGAAGGAGATGGCTTGGGGAGTAAGAATCTAGACCTGTAGCCTTGAGGCCCTAGGTTTAAATCCTTAGTGCCCATGTAAAAAGCTGTGCCTGTCCGTCCAGATTAGAGTGGAGACGGGAATGAATACCTAGAGCTGGGTGGCTGACCAGTCAAAAACGTGAAGTTCCCATTCAGCAAGGTTGCCTAATTCAAGGCAATTAGGTGGAGATCAGTAGAGAGAAATACGTCTTGCTCTGGTGGTCTCTGTGTGCACACAGGTGTGCATACCCACACAATCCTGACAGGACAGTGGCTGGAAAGAGTCACAGCATTTAATAACTTACTAGGTACACAGCAGTGGCATTCCATCATGAGCTCCTGAAGTGCTGGTGTCTGGAGTTTAGACAAAACAGCTCCTGTTTTGTGAAAACCATATTCATCAGGGGAACATTGGGTTTATATACAATTTTATTATCATGTTTCCCATACAGTAATAATATACTGGAAGTAAAAAGGTGGGAAGTCAGTGTGCAAACAGTCTTGGCTACAACTGGACAAAATACCCTTCTTCATCTTAGAAAGATAGAAGCCGCGCCTCTGTACCCCAGACAGTGCTGTTCAAGATTTGAATGTGAATGAGTTATTTGGGGATCATGCTAATGTCTGGAGTGATTGTAAGCTGCCTCCTCTCTTTCTGCAGTGCTCAGAAGTAACATGGCCCCAGGGCGATGAAATGACATTAAGATGTCAGTGAAGTACCGTCTGTACAGCAGTTCTGCCCGTATCTGTAGGTAGCTCTGGAGGGTGTCATTGATTTACACACAGCTCATTCCATTGTTTCAGAATAGTGACCATACAGTTCTGAAGGGAACAGGTTTGTTTGTTTACTGAGGTAGCTGAACATACACAAAAGTTTTCCATCTTAAAAAGTAATGTGTAAAGGGCATAAGCTAACCAATTTTAATTAGTTGAACCTATGGGCTTAGTGTGTGTTTGCATAGAGCCTAATAACATCAATAGCAATTCAAGATAAATGATCTTACATAAACTATGTTTCAAGTAACATGAGACTCCCTCTCTTGCTGCGTCTTGATGTAGAAATTGTACCATGTGTATAGTAACCATACTTTAGGAAATAGAAGACACACCTTGGCATACAGATAATGTAGTCCCAAAAGGAATAAATATATTTTCTGTATTTTTATGTTTATTCTATGTGTTTGTGTTCATGTATGTGGGTGTACTCGCACATATGTATAGGAATCCAAACTCGAGTCTTCCTGGTTGAACAGCAGGCACTCAAACCAGTGAGTTAGCTCTCCAGCTCATTATTGGCTTTTATTATTTTAGTTTTGTAGTATTGAACTCAGGCCTGGAAAGAAATGTTTGCAAGTTCAGAGTCCTGCAGTACCTGCATTGACTTTTCTTCTTTAAATGCAGTGATCAGGTAAGTGCAAATAGTGGCAGTAGAGTTTTAAACAAACAGGAGGTCATGGAGATGATTTATCAGGTAACAGCACTTGTCACCAAGCCTGAGCACCCTAGGCCATTGTCCTCTGACCTTTTACAGACTGTGGTGCATATGAAAGTGTACATGGGCACCCCCACTCCAGAACCCCCACACACACCATGTATATATACACATGGATATATTGTATGCAATATATATAATATAATACATATTTAAAACTAAAATGCCTCCCATAACAAAGCAGAAAGGGGACCTAGGTTCCCTACAATGTATGTTAATAGGTAACTAGAGCATGTATATTGTATCTAGAGCCGGGAGGGGGTCAGAGCACAGGTTAAGCTGATGCCCTTTGCTCTGTGACCAAGCATTTGAGGTCCTGGGCAGCTGGGATTAAGCCCTTGTCCTTTACTGCTGGAGAAGCAGCTTCAAGTGGGGACAGGAACATTGGTTGGTTTGTAATCAAAGCTGTTTGCTTCGAGTTGATTGGAAATATGTTAAAAATCTCAACTCTTAATTTGAAAATGAAATCAGACCCGGCCCCCGCGCCCCTCCCAGTGTTTGACATTCAGTGGTTTCCAAGGTCAAACACTCCTTTTGCTAATCGTGGAGAGTTTGAAGTTCCCAGGGGTGATAGCAGTGCAGTGCAGAGCTGTTGCAGGCAGATTTTGCTTAGAAAGGACATCACTCAGGACCTGTGATCACCGGGTGCTTCTGAGGGGCTGGAAAACTGTAGGAGGCACTTCATTCCCCTTTCTTGCTTAGAAAGGACGTCACTCGGGACCTGTGATCACCGGGTGCTTCTGAGGGGCTGGAAAACTGTAGGAGGCACTTCATTCCCCTTTCTTGCTTAGAAAGGACGTCACTCGGGACCTGTGATCACCGGGTGCTTCTGAGGGGCTGGAAAACTGTAGGAGGCACTTCATTCCCCTTTCTGCTAGCTATCCTAATGTCCATGAGTAATCCGCCCTCCTTTTAACACTCTTTCCTAGAATGCGGCTGGGGAAACAAAAACAAACAAAAGCCCTCTTAGTCTGGAACACTAAGCTGCAATACTTATGTTCTAGTTAACCTCTGAATTCAAGTCCATAGAGCATGTTCCAAGACAGCCAGGGCTACACAGAGAAACCCTGTCTCAAAAAGCAGAATGAGAGGGGGAGAGAGGGAGAGAGGGGAGGGGATTTTCTTGTAAAGTTAGGATGTTAGGGTGATAATATATTATAATTAAACTGGAAATACTTGAAGTGGAAACCTCATGACTATGCAACAATGAATCCGTTTCTCCTGCTTGGATGCCCTGGCTGACAAGTGAACTCTAAGAGAAGCCTAGTGGAGGACAATGCTAATGCAGAGAGGGGGTTTTTCGTTTTGGAACAGGGCTGCTCCTAATCTTCCAGGGACTCACTGGGAAATTTCTTACTAATCAGTTTGATAGAGTCGGAGATGCGGATTCTATTCCTGACTGCATTCTTCATTCTTACAAGCTCTCTAGTGTTTAAATCCTGAGACACTGTAAAGCGATAAAGATTTTTATCCCCAGCGCTTCTCTCTGTAGGCTGATAGTCCACACTTATTCACAACTGTCTGCCCCCCCTCTACCCATGTGTAAAGGAACCACCCTTAGTCAACCGTTCATTGCATATCTTTTAACCCCTCAAAACAAATTAACTACTGTTGAGTCGTTATATCAAAATGAGCTTTTGGAGGAAGCTTGCATAAGGCACAAAGAAAACTCCCCTCCAGTGTTAGAGTAACAGACTGACAGAACTTAGAGGATGAGTTAAGGAGAACATTCAAGAACGGTTTGATGCTGCCTCAGGGTCCAGGCTAGGGGTTAGACAGCGGGCGGGAAGGGGTTTTCTAAAAAGAGTCTGAGTGAGAAGTAGGAAGCGGGTTCACACACGCGTTCCTCTCATGGCTCTATTCTTCAAGAAAATGTTCTTCCCAAAAGTTCTCTCTCTAAAAGCCTCCTCAAAAGTTCTCTCTCTAAAAGTTCTCTTTCAAAGTTCTTAAAAATTCTCCTGGAGCTCTTTCTAAAAAGTCTCTAAAGGTTCTCCCGAGGTTTCTCCTAAAAAAAAGTCTCCAAAAGTTCCTTCTAAAAGTTTTCCTGAGGTCCCTCTAAAAAGTCTCTAAAAGTGCCTTCTCATCCCACAAGACTTCTAGTTTTTCTAGCCACAGGCCCATTAATAACTCTCTGACAATAGGACATGCACATCTCTCAGAGCCAGGATGGTGGGTAGGGTCTTGAGAAAGGTAGGTGCCTCAGTCTCCTCTCTGGATGTGACTTGCAAAACTGGTCTGGCGACCCAGATAAGGAGGAAGCAGGGAAGTAGGACATAGGGAATGAAAGGAAGGTAAAGAGCTCCAAGGCAAAGCATAGATGAAGAGAAACAGGTTGAAATAAATTACAGCCGGGCGTTGGTGGCACACACCTTTAATCCCAGCACTCGGGAGGCAGAGACAGGCGGATTTCTGTGAGTTCGAGGCTGGGCTGGTCCAACAGCCTCCAAAACAATACAGAGAAACCCTGTCTCGTAAAACCAAAATAAATAAGTAAATAAATAAAATAAAAAAATAAATTACAAGAGCTACTGGGACAAGTCTAAACTAATAATTCCTAACTAATAAGTCTCGGCATCATGATTCGGTGGCTGGTGGTCCGGGAGAGCCTGCTACACAAAAGTGTATAGATATATCTCATACCCTCCCTCTTTGCCCTGTTGATATTTACCTCACTGTCAAAAAAAAGTCTCTGCTCTCCCCACTTGAAATCTAATGGGGGATAATGCCTTCTCTGACAGATAGGGAATGGCAGAGATTATAGCTTACAGCTGCTTGCCCTTCCGGCTGTGATACGAGGAAACCCCACAGGCTCGTACAGAAAGACCACCAGGAGGCTCACATATCCTGGAAGTGGTGTTTCCAGCTCTGCATTAATTCTAGGACATGTGCAAGAGCGAATCTCAGATGATTTTACTCCCTGGCCTTTGAAACTTTCATTTGGAACAACACACTGTGCTAGAGACAATTTCTCTGGTGGTGTTTTCTGCTGGTGGTGTTTTCCTCCTTTGTTTATCCAAGACAGGATCTCCCTACGCAGCCCAGGCTTGCCTTAGCTTCATTCCGCTTCAGTCTCCCCAGCCCTGGGTGCCCAGGAGCTCCCCGCCAGCCACACGGTAGCAAAGGAGGTAGTTTCAGGGGAGTGTGTTGCAGTGAAAGACTTGCTGGGGCCTTTCCACAGTAGCGGCCCTGCTGCTTTTGTTTTTAGTATCTTTAGCTCAGGCATTTATCCAAAGTCCAAGTTCCAAGGTCTTCTTAGGCACCTTTCTCTATTCAGCCAACTGATGCCTGGTTGAGGAGACACGTTTCCCAGCTCTGACTGGATAGGCTGTAGTTTTTAAACGCCGCCGGTATTCTTAACGTTTTCAGAGCCTCCGGGTTTTCAGAGTTGACCTTACCCTGAGCACCTCGCCATTTCTGGTCATCGCTGTCCCACAGCTGTGAGTACTGGCTGTATCCCTTTCTATGTCACTTGTTCCTTAAATATGCTTAAATAAGTCACTCTAACATCTGGCAGCTCTCATAATTATCATCTCCTAGCCCATTGGGATCTTGATAAAGTACTATAAGTTATCATTATCTACCTGCAGAAACCCTATATGATTTGAAAAACAGCGATAAAGGCAGCACATTTATCATATTTCCACCTATGCCGTATTTTTTGTGTAGCCTTCATAACATAGTTACTCTTATTTTGAACAGCCTATAGACTTTTAACTGTATTTAAGCTCATGTATGTATTTATTTAAGTGATGAAATTTTGGAAAGGGCTTTTATATTTACCCAGATAATAAGTGTGTTCTTGTTCTTTGTTTCTCAGATGCATTAAGTTGTCTGCTTGGAATAACATCCCTCACATAGTTCATGTCTTGAAATATAATTAACTGCAGATGTATTTTCTCCTTTTCCCTCTGGAAATTTCTTCCTTTTGCCTTCATTTTTGATGTGTATATTTGTTAGGTGAGGAGTTTCAGGCACTTTGCTTGTATTTATTTTTCTCTTTCTTTTTGGGCACTGAGGGTTTATTGTCTCCTGCTTGTTATTTCAGGTTTGTTCATTTCCTCTATAACATTGCCACTTTTCTCTGGATATATTATCATTTGCTGTGTGTGCTACCAGTTTGACTATAATGACAACTGGGCTTTCGCTGTTTTTGTCCCTGTTTGTTACATTTCTTGTGACTGTAGTAGCATGGTCCTTTTCAATGATTTGAGGAAAATTCAGATCTAATTTTTGCAAGCATTTCTCCTGAGCCAATATCTAATGTGTCTTTCTAAGGTGCCAATTATTAGAGAATTTATACTCTATGTTAAACCATATATATTAAAATATTTCCCATGTCTCAAGTGTTCTAATCTTTCGTCTTGATTTTTCTCTCCATAGTTTAGTATGAGCTGTTCTTATATCTGTTGGCTCCTTTCTATTTGCTGCCTGATGATTCCAACATCTGGACTACTTCTCTTTCTATTATAGTGATTTTTTCCTCTTGTATCCATGAGTTTTTATAACCTTTATGTGTAATATTAAAAATAGATTCTAGATGTATTGTCTGAAAATAATATCTGGGGGAAAAAAGAGGACCAGAGATATTATCCATGGATAAAATAACTTGCTGCCAAGCCTGCCAAGCTGAGTTCTATCTCTGGGGTCCACATGGTGGAAGAAGAGAGAGAGTCAACTCCCATCAGTTCTCTCTCTCTCTCTCTCTCTCTCTCTCTCTCTCTCTCTCTCTCTCTCACGCGCACGCACACACACACACACACACACACACACACACACAGGTTTTGCTCCTCTGCCTTCATTCTTTGGAAGGCAGCTGCTATATTTTAAATGAAGGCTTGAAAGCCCCCCAGGGATTCATCTCAGTATGTGTCCCTGCAGCCAATCTTTGATGCACTGTCCGGCTTCTGGTAATGCCCTGTAGACATGCACGAGTAGAGACATGCTCTGAAGTGAGTTTCTCAGAGTTCCATCTTAGCACCCATCAAAAGCATACTCCCCTTTTCTCTTATTTTTCACATCTCTCTGTGCGATTCCTTTTTGCTGTCTTATAATAAGTGAATAGCAGAGTAGGAGGGAAATTTTCTTGCCTGCTAGGAATAGCTATTTTGTCACATGCTGGAGTTTGATTCATTTAGATGGGTGGCATTCTCAGCAAAATGAGTTACAATGAAAACAACACAGCAATCAGATAAGTAGATCAAAATCTGATGATAGTTTTGGTTGTTGGGAAGACTGGCCACTCTTGTGTTAACATTTAAGAGCAATATAGTAAGTATTTCAGCAAACCTTCTGTGTAGTTGAAGGCCTTGTGTGCTCCCAATTTTGTTTTAGGACTGTATAAATCCTAAAATCAAAGTGACAGTTATATCTCTTTTCTCTAAGACAGAACACACATGTCCCCATCGAAGAGATTAGGCAGTGGTGTTACCTGTCCCGTACAGGGAGCTGTTCAGGCAATTAGCATGTTTTCAGCCTCACATCTCCATCCAGGTCCAGACTTGTGAACGATGACAGAGTGAGATGTCCTCCTTGATGTCCTGATACCAGGCATGCAAAGTTGGAGTGACGCTTGAACTTCTAGTGCTCACCCGCATGCTCCCTCGCTTCTAGAAATCTGTTGAAATCTCTCGGGTGTCTTGCGTTACAAAATTATCACAGTCTATTTGCAATAAATCAATGCAGAGTTGAAACTGAATCATAAGAGGTCTGACTCCTGGTCCCTCCCGTCACTCATTAACTTTATTTTGCCGCTGTATTTCATTTCTGTTTCTTTCATTTTGAGGTTTTGGTGAAGATATCCCCAGAGAATTGTTCAAGGTTCCCACTGCGAAAATGGCCAAGGTGACAGCCACTCCTGTCAGCACACTTGTTGACGAGCCTGTGCACATCCGGGTCACAGGCCTGAAGCCCTTTCAGGTGGTGTGCCTTCAGGCATCCCTGAGAGATGAGAAGGGGAATCTGTTTGCGTCGAAGGCCTACTACCGGGCTAGCGAGGTAGGGGAGGTGGATCTGGAGCAGGATCCCTCGCTTGGAGGAGACTATATGGGCGTCCACCCCATGGGTCTTTTCTGGTCCTTGAAACCCGAAAAGCTGCTGAGTCGACTGGCAAAGAAAGATGTGACCATCCCTTACGAGGTCCACATAGAACTCCGTGAGCCTCACTTTCCCATAAAAGGTGTAGTTGTCAGTCCGCCAATGGACAGCCTGACTTTGGAAAGATGGTATGTGGCACCTGATGTCACCAGGATCCAGGTAAAGGAAGGCCGCCTCCGGGGAGCCCTCTTTCTGCCTCCAGGTGAGTAGAATAACTCTGGGTATGTCATCATTGTTTCCCTTTTGGGATGCCTTGTGCCTCTAGGAATTTAGCTTGGTATATAGATCTCACCATCCTGCCTGAGAATCCGGGTTAATGTTGGTTCAGAACAAGAAATAGGCCATATTCCACTCTAATCCAAGTTTCATTTCCACCATTCTGAAGCTTGTTTATAGGTATGCCTACATGTTGCAGAGTTCCTGCACTGGAAGGTTTCTGAAGAGTTGGATGCAGGTTAAATGTAGTTCATTCAAGTCTGGCTGATTGAAGACTCTCACACATCTGTTTTCAGGAGCAATAGCATATTGACGTTCAGCTTAAGTACCGTACTATAGTTTTGCACTAACAATCTCGTATACTTTTATATCCAGAATAAAAATATCAGCCATTCCATTGTGCTTAGTTTTGTTTCCTTAGTATCCCACCTCTGTTTAAAACATGTGTATTGGTTCAGGCCTCTGCCTCAGGCTGCTTTGCTGGCACTAAGCGTGTCATTTGCTATCTTCTGGGACATTGGGTATGTAAAGTCTCTTGGATCAAATGATCTGCTGGAGCTCAAAGGAGGGATGAGATCATTTGGCCACAAAGAGGTTGAAATAAGTGTCAAAACATTTCAGGCCCTTCATCGTTCCCTCCCTCCTGCTCATCATCTTTGTTAGTGTACTTACCTGGCAGTTTGTAAACCAAGACGTACTGTGTCACCTCATTTCTCACACTAAAGGAAACACAGCCAATTAAAAACTCATCCGTGCCCCTTTCGTGTGATGCCAGTGTTTAAATGCACATGGCCAATCTTCCTGTTCTAAAATCAAGTTTCAGGACAGGGCATTTATGATAACCACTGTGGGTGGGCTCTGGTTTATGGAGAAATGTTCTGTCCACTCTGAGTGAGTGTGGACTGATGTTCTGGCATCCCTCCTCTTTCTCTGTACTCTAGACTGCAAGGAAGAGAAACTATAAAAAGAAAGAGCTCCTCGTGCCCGTCTTCGGAGAGGGGAGGTTTTACCAGCTGTTTCATCAGCTAGTGGTTAGCGGGATGTAACAGAGAAGGGTGTTTAAACTTTTGGTGTTGCTGTTGTTTTCTCAGCCCTGAGAGTAGACATGTTATGCAAGTGTTGCAGGACTGACCTCCTGAGCTGCAGCTCTTCCAAGATGTTTTAGCCATTGTAACCATGAAAGACATCCTTGAGCTATGTCCTTCACTCAAAAAGAGAGAATGTTTGTCTAACTAGACCCTGTGAGGGCTCACCCTCAAGGACACGAAAATCTCCAACTAGGACCTTTCTGAAAAGTTCTGCTTCTCCTAGGTGGCCTTTGGAGATAGCCTTAATCAGCCTGTAGTGTTTCTCGAAGGAAAGCACATATAAACAGACATATTTTGTATCTAATTTTAGGACTTTCATAGATTTCCTAAAGCTCAGTTTTTGTACCCTTTATTGGTTAAGAAGCCCCAGAACATTGTTTTTTTTTATGATTTTCTTTACTCAAAGACCATGGAAATGAACCCTCCTCTAGGCTTCAGGAATTAAATGTGTCAGTGCATGTAGTTTATAATAAGATACCTACAAGTTACATTTCCCTGTATACTGAGAAGGCTTCACTTCTGCCCCAGACACAAGGCTGAACATTTGAATGTTTTATTTGAGAATTTACGCATTAATACCAAGGTTCAGTTGTGCTTGTTGGCTTTATATTCTTGTTGTCTTTCCTTCTTGTTTACATATGTGACCTGTTTTATGTCACTCTTTTCCAGGAGAAGGTCCCTTCCCAGGGGTCGTTGACTTGTTTGGGAGCACTGGTGGACTGGTTGAATTCCGGGCCAGTCTTCTGGCCAGTCATGGCTTTGCAGCCTTTGCTCTGGCTTACTGGGCCTATGATGACCTGCCTTCTCATCTGGAGAAGATAGATCTAGAGTACTTTGAAGAAGGTGTAAAGTTTCTCCTGAGGCATCCTAAGGTAATTTTAAGCTCATTAGTCTACTCTTATCCCAGTGTTGTATTAACTGCAGTGCTATGTGACTTACCTTAACTTCGAAGTGAGATTCTGCCAAGGCTGTCTTTAGTGCTACAGAGAACAGCTGTCTTTTCCTCTTTCTGGTTTGCATGTTCCACTTGTAACTACTTATCATGACTCCCCTCCCACCCTCTATATGTGTGTGTGTGTAAATGTGTATTTATATATGTGTATGCACACACACACACACAATCTATATGTACTAGGGAGGGATGTTTGTGTACAGGTTTCTGTATGTGGGGGGAAAGTGTGATCACTTGTGTGTGTGTGTGTGTGTGTGTGTGTGTGTGCATTAGTGTGCATATGCTTGTGGAGGACAGAGGTCAACCTTGAGCATTGTTCTTCAGGAGCTATTCACCTTGGTTTTGAAACAGAGTCTCTCATTAGAGGCCGGGAGATTCCCTATCAGGATAAGCTGTCTAGTTAGTGAACCTAGGGTCCTCTTGTGTCCGTCTCCACAGGACTGATGATTTTACATAGGTTCTGGGAGCATAACTTATGTCCTCATACTGCATGGCACTTAACTGACTGAGTTATTGCCACAGCCCCAGAAGTTGTATGTATTTGCATCTATAAACAAACAACTTGTGAACATGTTTTCCAGAACTGAAGTCTGAGTCATCTATCCCCAGAGTGCTAGACCATGAGAAGAAAACAAAGCAAAAACAAACAAACAGCCTTATGTTAATATTTAGCCCACCACAAGCCGCTTTTCTGGAAAATGTAGAGTTCCTGATCAGCAATTCTCTGGTCCTATCTGCTAGTGCACAAGATAGCTGTGTTTCAGGCACTAAGTCAACGTGTCAGCGGCTTAAGATAGAACTGTCAAAAACTCAGACTTTGATGTCATGATTGTGTGTTATTTTGAATGAGGAGAAAATCTATCCATGAGTAGAATATGTTGGCCTTTACAACAGACACTAAATAGATATGTAGCAAAAAACAATAAGCTCAGACGCATCAAAATGCACCCCCTGAGAGTGGATACATCACTTTGCCACCGAAAATCAAGGTCATATTAGCCTTAAAATTGTGCATAAATGTCTTTTCTGGGTAACTAGCACACCTGAATCACTTTTACTCTTTATTGCCTCCATTTTTAATGTGTGAAAAGTCAATTTATAGCCCATGCCTACTGAGACTCTTTGATCCTGCTGATCTATCTGTATACACTGTTGTAGAATTTGTGATACTCTAATAATCTAGGTGTCTCCCTATGGTCCTCACCTCCTGTCTTTTCATCTGGCAGGTAGTTGCCAGATGAAAAGACATGAAATGATATTGCTCCTTTGCTGGGCGAGATTGATGATTGACAATAAAACGTGTATTGAGACACTCTGATTTGAAATCTTATGAGATCAAAGCTTTCTATTCAAGTTCCATGCATTGTCCTACCCCTCCCCCCCCTTTGCTCATGTCTCTTTCTGTAGGAAGTTCATTCCTCATTACTTACTCCCTAACTAATGCTATTTGCAATAAGACATTGGCTTTGCTTGTTTTCCTGGCTACACTGGTTCTTGTTTGTGTATCCTGTGGTGACTACTGCATGCTGGAGAAAGACTTCACTACAGACCTGCATTTCTAGTCCTGGCGTGATATTTCTTGAAAGTATTTTAAACTCAGAACTAGGCATAGTACTGAATCCAAGATATCTATAGTGAATGAATCTCAATTAAATAAACAAACCACATTGCAGGACTCTAGCTACTTGACATGCAAGCATCTGGGTGGGTTCTTTATTTATTTTTTTAACTTTCCTGTTACTATTCCTTGTTGAAGTTCTTGATTGTTTGAAATTGCGGATTTCCTAATGAGAAAATAGCATCTCATTTTTATTGTTTTTAGGTCTTGGGCCCAGGTGTTGGCGTTGTTTCTGTCTGCAAAGGAGCAGAAGTTGGACTCTCGATGGCCATTAACCTAAAACAAATAAAAGCCACTGTACTTATCAATGGGCCCAATTTTGTTACCAGTGACCCACATGTGTATCACGATCAAGTCGACCAGCCCGTACCATGCAATATAGAATTTGTGACCACCAATGCCTTAGGACTTGCAGAGTTTTATCGAGCCTTTGAGGAAACTGCAAATAAGGATAGCAAATATTGTTTTCCCATAGAAAAAGCTCAGGGACATTTCCTCTTCGTGGTGGGAGAAGATGATAAGAATCTCAACAGCAAGGTACACGCTCATCAAGCCACAGCACAGCTGATACAAAGTGGGAAGAAGAATTGGACTCTGCTGTCTTACCCTGGGGCCGGTCACCTGATTGAGCCTCCCTATGCCCCCTTGTGCTCGGCCTCAAGGATCCCCTATGTGATCCCGAGCATCAGCTGGGGGGGAGATGTTATTCTACATGCGGCCGCACAGGAGCATTCTTGGAAGGAGATACAGAAGTTTCTCAAGAAACATCTCCTCCCAGATATGAGCAGCCAGCTCTGAGTGGACTCGATGGTATTACTGGGAAGTAGAGCTGTCCAGCACTACGTCTCACCTTCCGTAGAGGGATGTCTCTGATGTCTCACTGGATGCTGAAGGAAGCTATCAGAAGAAATGCTGAGAGTGGGCTGAGAGTGATAATATCTTGACTTTGGAAGGGGAAAAAATGTTTTCCATGTAATGAAATGTCAGGAAGTGAGAGCCCCATATCTGTAATAAATAAAATTGTAGGCCTACCTTTCCTAAAGTTTTCATCATCGTAACAATCTTCTGTAATCATAATTATTAAGGAAATTATTAGTGATAAACCACGGGATACTCTGCTTTGTAGAGGAAACACAAAAAGTATTATATGTTGGCATTGTTACTAATTTCTCAAGACTCACATTAAATATGCTTAGATCGTTCTCATTGTCACTGGCAACCTAGACGGGTATTTTAAGGCATTGTGAATGCTTGTATGTATACAGGACCGTTGAATCCATTTACAAACAGCTTAGCAAATGTTAATAAATAACTTTTGCCTCTAAACATTTACAGCGTTTCAGCCTTCTCTGTAATAAGAAGGGAGCAATCTGACTGAGATCTACAGAAGTGCAGCCAAGAGAAGCAAGCACGATGAGGAGGACTGTGGCCCTTTAGGTCAGGGGTTAGCAGTTTAGTTTTGTGTTGTGTCTGTAAAGCACTATGCCATGAAATTTCCACTTTGTCATCTGTAAGTCTTCTGTCAGTACGCTGCATTCTGCTATGATAATAAGGGAAGTATGTAATGAAGATGATGTCTGAATTCCAATTAAACTTTTAATTCTGTATACCGAAATTTACATTTAATAATTTTGTGTTGAAGACAGTAATGTTTTTAGAACTTTACAAGCGTTTGCAAATGTAAATCACTGTTAATACATGGACAGAACACAAGTAAGCTTCAGGCTCACAGGGCAAAATTTCTAGAGCCTTCCAAATGGCACGGATATTCCTGAACTACTAAATTGAAAGGGTAGAAGTGGAGGGTAACTGGTGGCCGATAGGGTGAAGATAAATGTGTGCAAATACACTTCAGATCATCTTTGAAGCATGATGGGAAACCAGGGGAGGATTAGCATAGTGGCAACACAAGGACCCTTCTTCTATTTCTGCCTGAATACTTTTATTTCTGTCTGCTTTGTGAGGCTTTCTCCTGTTGAGATAAAAACAAATAAACAAAAGCTTATCTGTTTGTGGTGGAACAAACTGCCCCTCCCCTCTCACTTTTCACACATGTGGTCAATCAGAATACTTTAACTTGATTATGATAATCACTCAATTGCAACGACAGATACTTCCAGCATCGCGTTATGTAATATGTCCAATGGCAGGTATTAATATTGTTACTCCCAGGTTGGGTATATAGGAGGAAAGTTTCTACTTATAATTCATAATATTGGCATTTGTTCTGGTGCCTATGCCACTAAATTATATTCTAAGGGATTAATCTTAAATAAAATATAATTAATTTCCTCCTTTCAGAATCACTAGAATGTAATACAGTAGACTCCTAGATAAGAAGATATTGCTTCCAAAACTATCAATTGTGCATTTTTTTTTTTTTTTGGTTTTTCGAGACAGGTTTTTTCTGTATTGTTTTGGAGCCTGTCCTGGAACTCACTCGGTAGACCAGGCTGGTCTCGAACTCACAGAGATATGCCTGCCTCTGCCTCCTGAGTGCTGGGATTAAAGGCATGTGCCACCAACGCCCGGCTCAATTGTGCATTCTTATTTTTATTGTGTTAGTCAGATTTTGTTTTTGTCAGTGCGACAGAATAACTCAAGGAAACAACAGAGAACAGATTTACTCGGCTCACAGTTTCAGAGGTTTTAATTTATGGTTACTGAACTCTGTGTCACTTGGCCCTTGGTGGTTCAGTAGAATATGACTCCAGGGAGCATGTGATGGAGTAAACTAGCTTATGTCCTTGCAGATGGGAGATGGGTGTGGCTAGGAATACAATGTCCCTTTGAAATTCAGAGATCTGGCCCAGGGACTGACTTCCTTCAACTGAGCTGTTCCTCTTAATACTTCATTGACTATAAACTCATCAATGGATTAATTATTTAATGAGGTTCACACTCTCATGATCCAATCACCTATTAACAGTGCTGGCAGTTGGGGCCCAAGCTTTCAACACATGAGTTTTTTGATGCACACCTGTCTTAGTTAGGGTTTCTATTACATTCAAACTACCACCTTCCATTCCATGGCCCCCATAAGCTTGTAACAATATCATAATACAAAATGCAATCTCTGCAATCCACTATAAAATCAAAAACAAAACAACAACTGAAAGACCCCTACCCAGGGCCCCTTAGGAAAAGAAAAACAAGGCTAGGCCATTGCCTAATGAAAAAACCCAGACCAGGTGCCTTGCCCAGCTGGCAGGATGTCAAACAGGATCTGTGGTCACCAGAGCAGTCATGGGATCCGGATAATAATTGCTGAAGCGTGCCAGGGTCTTTCATGAGGTAATACCAGGAAACTTAGTCCGTGGGAACTACCCCTGCCCCCAAGATGAGCCAATGAAATGCCTGTTGCTATGCTGATACTTATGTAACCATTAAAACTCTATAAATATTGTGCTCCCTGCAAGCCCAGTATGCTCTGCACCCATGTTGCAGTAGTATCCGCAGGCGCCTGTGTACTCAATAAATCACCTCTTGCATTTGCATCCAGTGGTTCTTAGGCAGAGGGTTCGGTTCAGTGCCCGGAGCTTTGATGCCGAGGTCTTTCACAACAACGACAAGAAACCCAGATCACATACTTGCAACATATAATGGCATAGGATATACATTACCATTCCAGCTGATCAAACTCCAAACTGTGCCTCTCCATGTTCCATGTTAAAATGCTTTTCATCTCTCCAATTCCTTTCAGCTTTGTTGACAGCAACATCCTTCTAACCCTTGGGCTGGGTCCGCTCCCTGTTAGTAGATTTCCTCAGCAGGTACTCTACAGCTTGGCATTTCCAACATCTTGGGGTCTAAAAGGGTTCAGTTTCACCGATTCACATAATGGTCTCTCTGGGCCTCCATTCAGGGACACCCCTGACATGTGTCTGGCCTCAGTGGCTTTCATTAGTCACGGAGGAATAGTCTATAACTCCTTTCTTCTATGCTTGACTCTAAATCGAGAAGTATGTGGGTGAAGCTGCCAAGTTCTGCTGCTTCCTGGGGCTGGAACATGGCCCCCTCGTTGAACTACATCTTTGCCAGCTTCCTATTTTCAGTGGTTTCCTTCACTGACTAAGCTTGTTCTGGAACCCGCTCTGTAGAGCAAACTGGCCTCAAACTCAGAGATCCACCTGACCCTGCTTCACAATACTGGGATTAAAGGCGTGTGCCACCATACCTGGCCCTAAACTTTCCTTTACTTCCTTTTCACGTGTTGGAAATTCAGGTGGGTGCAACTTGCCCTGAGGTCACCACTCCCTTTATTCCATTTATTTTTTGAGACAGGGTTTCTGTGTGTAACATCCCTAGCTGTCCTGGAACAAGCTCTGTAGATCAGCCTGGCCTCAAAGTCACAGAGATCCTCCTGCCTCCCTCCCTCCTGAGTACTGGGATTAAAGATGTGCACTACCACTGGTTGGCTTTATTCCATTTCTTAATCTGTTTATCTCCTTGAATACAGTACTTAGCTCCATTCCACTTCCTGGCGCGCCTTTTCCTCCTCAAACATTTTCCATGCTCAGTTTGCTTCTTTTCATTGTAAATCTCCATTACAGTTAATACTGATAACCACATGGCAGAGACTACACTAGGCTGTTTTAAGATTTCTCCTGCCAATGGAATTAATTCAACACTTTTTACTTTAGCCTCAAGCAGACATTATGGACAGGGGCAAAAGTCAGCCACATTCTTCACCACAGTATCGCAAAAACGATCTCTAGGCCACGGATTAATATTCTTCTCTTCTGCAACCTCTTGTGCCAGGGCCCCACAGTTCATCAAGTCATGCTCAGCACCATGTATGTCTTCCATGCTCCTACTAGGATGGCCCATTAAGCAGCACTCTAAGCATTCAACTGCTCTTCTAATCCAGTCTCAAGGTCCATATTCCTTCAAACAAAAGCATGGTCCAGCCTTTCACAGCAACACCCCAGTCCCTGGCACCAGCTTCTGTCTTAGGGTTTTCATTTCTGTGAAGATACACCATGACCATGGCAAACTCTTATAAAGGAGTTTATTAACATTTAATTGGGTGGTTTATAGTTTCAAAGGTGTAGTCCATTGTCATGATGCCAGGACATGGTGGCATGCAGGCAGACTAGCAGCTGAAGGTGGAGAAAGGAGCTACATTTTGATCATTCAGGCAACAGGAAGTGATCTGAGTGTCACACTGAGTGAAGCTTGAGCAAAGGAGATCTCAAAGCCCACCCTTGCAGTGACACACTTCCTCCAGCAAGGCCACACCTACTTCAATAAGGCCACACCCCCTGATAATGCCATTCCTTATGAACTTATGAGGACCAATTGCATTCAGGTTACCACAATGCCTTATATCCAAACCCTGTCAGCAATCCTGAATTATACAGTATTAAAGAGATATATGTTATAGTTGCCCCTGGCATTTGAAGGACATTGCGCATTAAGTGATCTATTTCTGCCTCAAGCTTGATTATTGTGTATAAAGGTAAACAGGGTGAATGACAATGTCAATTCTTACATAAGTGGATGGGTGTTACTTTCACATAAGTATTAGTAGCAATTTATTGCAGTCAAATTTTTCTTTGGGCCACTAGTTTACAAGTAATGACACAGAGACTTCCTAATTATGACAGCTTGGCCTTTGCTTAGGCTTATTTTTAATTAGCTCTTCTATCTCAAATTAACCCATTTCTATTTATCTATGTTTTGTCACATACTCCTCATTCTGCTTCCTCTGTGTCTCCTCAATCTCTCTCTCTCTCCCATGCCTAAATCTGTCCTCCTACTTCCTCTCTCTGGCCAGAAGGACCTATATCTTCTGTCTAGATATTGGCTGTTCAGTATTTTTTTAAATTACAACCAATTACTGAAATACACCTTCACCCAGTGTACAAATATCCCACAACAGAGCATGGGTGACACAATAACAGCTATATTCTCCAAAGTCCACTCCTGCATAGGTGCAGACACATGAACCCTGTATCTTTGGAACCCCCAAATCATTGCAGGCAGCTTTGTGGGACAGAAGAAGGAAAACTATTCATTTCCTTATCACAACGCATGGCTATTTTTAAAGTTGTTTTTCTTTCTTAAATTCTTTTTAATAAATTCTGTTTTGTGATCTTTGGCCAAAAGAACAGGGTCAGAGTTTCTTTTCCTGCCCTGGGTAGAGACACACTTTCTGAACATCTATAAGGACTGCTGCTGTGGAATTTTTGAACCATTTAGCCAATGACTTTTGTGGCAGCAAGCCCTAGGGTAGGGTCTGGTATGCCTTAAAAGCTGAGGGAGAGGGTGGCTCTCTTTTTTGCTCTTGCATCTCTTGGGTCATCAGAGTGGAACAGGCAGCAGAGAGGAGACATTTAGTTTTTTCTCTTCACTCCTGGGCAGAAAGACTGGACAAACACAGCTGGATCAGTGGCAGTGTCTAACTGGTTTCGCATCAGTGAGTGTTTGTCCCTATCCTATACCTAAATAAACTCTTGAAACCCTTTAAAAGACTCCTGTGGCTTCATGTAACAAACTACAAGATTGCTGTTTAGCACAGGCTTTCTGATAAAGAATAAAGACATATTATCCTCCTCTTCCTTAAGAGTTCATCTAAATGTAAATGAGCCTGTCAATCGTCTGA